CCATCATGATGATGATGATGATGATAGTAAAAAGTCGGTGTGTTCTCGCTGGAATCCGACATCGGAATATTCGGAGATATAGGTGTTATATGCATACTTTGGATATGCAATCCTTGTGCCTGACATATCCATATTCGGATAGCCTTATCTGACAGATAATCTATAGCTTATTTACTATTATAAGATTGTGAGGAGTATTAACTAACTATGAATAGCTTTATTGAAATTAACGAGGAGTATCGTATGCTCATCTGTTGCAAATGCAAGGCAGCTGTCCGGCCCCGCCGCGGCATCGAGTCATATTTCCGCCACGAACATCAGCTGAAAGGGGACGTTCTTCGAGATATCAAGGACTATTACAGCAGGATGGACTTGGCCGATCCGAAGGTTGATGCTCTCCCCACGGATAGCAGCTTAGCCATCAAACAGCTTGATATTTTACAGGGTTATAGCTGCTCTATATGCCGATATCTCACAACAGCAAGAGACAACATCACACGCCATTGGAGGGAGGCTGGGCATACATCCGGTCCGCTCAGATCAATAAAGGTGCAATTACAGACGTGGATGCGCGGGAAACACGCTCGATACTGGATCGTCCGCAGCAACGAGGCCGAGGCGTGGCCCGACCCGGCCAACAACTCGGAGAAGGATGCCATGGAGCTGATGGTGGCCCAGTGTACGGCTGAATTGGATGCCGAGGATGGCGAGCGATTTCGCCGAGGGGATCTGAAAGAAGATATGGACCGGGACTCGTCGTGGGTGAAGAGGGTGCGCTGGGTCAAGCACTTCGGGTCTCGAGATCTACTGGACATATTCGAAGCAGCCGAGTGGGTACGGGCGAAGAGCACGACGGCGGGACGAGGCCGGGAGCAAGATAAAGACGGTGCGCAAGAACGGCTGATATTGCTGCGTCTCGGGGAGAGCTTCGATCGCGAGGTGGAACGGTGCAGCTGGCGATTGGGCAGCGTGCCGACCGAGACGCTCCAATGGCTTGCCAGCATCGTGAGCACCACTCCCAGCGGGATGCCATTTGGTCTGAAGGGCAAGGAGGCATCAATGGCTAAATACCGGACCGTCGGGCATCGATATTTGGGCTTCTGCTGGCGAGCGCACCAAATCGGAAGGGATGAGGCGTTAGAGCGATGGGCCATCCGCTTCACGGATGAGCAGTGGAGCTTGCTATGTGATGTAGTAGACGAGCTGGAGAGGAGCAGCATCGCCAGCGGCCATAATAACGGGTTCCGTAGCGACCAGGACAGTGAGGATGGGGCCGACGACGAAGCAGGGGATGAGGGTATGGATTCCCAGAAGGATAACGACACGCTTGACCGGGCTGTCTTCTTGTTCATAGTGGCTTCGATCAAGACTCAGGTGGGCGGGCATATATATTCAAACTCGCTGCTCTGCTTCTGTGCGGCGTGAGGGATCCGGTCCCATCCGCTCGGGTATACGGAGCCGCACTTATACACAGGAATGCTGGCCGCTATTCTGTGGTGGTCCCGGCTCTTCTTCTTGGAGGCTGCGTTTGAGGACCAGCCCCGGGACCAGGACGAGGTCGGGATCAAAGCAGTACTCGCGTTCCGGGATCAACATGCCGTTTGGATGTGTGTAGGCGCGCATACGGTCGCCAGCACTATTATCGGATGGATGGCGCTGGGGAAAGGGTGGCGAATGCGGATGGGTGGGCAGCCGTCGGTGCGTTGGGCTGAGGACGGCGAGTCGCTATTCCACAACGGCGAGCGCATCATGGTTCAGGAGTTCACGCGGGCGCTCCGGAACCAGGTCGTCGAAGCACAGAAGCTGCTCGATTCACTATTCGCAGGGGATTGGGAGAGGTTTAAGACGCTGGTCAAGCTAGGGCGGATCGTCGACAGCATGGTGCGGCTCGGGGCCGGACAATCATTCGCGACGAACGCGAAGAACAGCTGGCTAGAGCCCGGAGCGGCGGTCGTGATGAGGCAGCTAGGGACATCGATATGGGACCCGAGGAAGCAACGGCTCAGGCGAGAGGGGGTCCGGCAGTGGCTCCGACGGCTGAGGATGTTTCGGGAGGTGCTCATGGTGCTCGTCCACGCATGGGGCGGACTACCCGGACGAGGGCCCGAGGTGGCGACGTTGCGGCACTGCGACTCGTGGCAGCTCATCCGCAACATCTTCGTTCTCGACGGGCAGGTGATGATGGTGAC